AGGAATAATAAAAAGGCACAGTTGCAGGCAATGTTTCCGCTGTTCAATGATGCCCCCAAAGGCCCAGCCTCTCCCTTTCTGCTCTGCTCACATTGGCATCTGGGCTTTTGTCTGCATGCTGGCACCACATAGTCACAAAGTGGCTGCCACACTCCCAGGCATCACATCCAAGTAGAGTTCTTCTTATAACTCATTGGAGGAAACTATGTCACATGGTATGACTAGCTGAAAGGCGGGGGGAGAGAGAATTGAATTGGCCATACTACTATGCCAAATAAATATAGAGCTCTGTTGTAAAAAAAAAAGTGGGAATGATACTTAACAGGCAAAATCTGTTTGCCACATTATGTTAGCCACATTTATGTATGCAGCTCATTACTCAGTACTCAGTACATAATGATATACAACAATGTTTGAGCAGTGGTTGCCATTGCTGATTGGAATGTTAGGCCTCAAAAATAACCTCTTCTAAAGAAACTTCCTCACCTTTCACACTACAATAGAATTAACAACCACCTCCACTGCACAGCAATACCGGACGGATACTGGCTTTTTTGTTCTTATTCTTGTTGAGACAGAGTCTTACTCTGTTGCCCAGATTAGAGTGCCATGGCAACCTAGCTCACTGCAACCTCAAACTCCTGGGCTCAAGGGGTTGTCCTGCCTCAGTCTCCTGAGTAGCTAGGACTACAGGCGCCTGCCACAACACCCAGCTATTTTTTTTCTATTTTTAGTACAGACAGGGTCTCGCTATCTCACTCTTGTTCAGCCGGTTGTTGAACTCCTGGCCTCAAGCAATCTTCTCATCTCGGCCTCCCAGAGTGCTAGGATTACAAGGCCTGAGACACCATACCTGGCTGGATATAGGCTTTTACCAAAGCAGTTGGAAGATATTAGAGCTCTTTGTAAATTTTATTTTTTTTAGAGACCTCACTCTGAGGTCTAGGCTAAAGTGCAGTGGCCTGATCATAGCTCACTGTAACCACAAATTCCTGCCTCCCAAAGTGCTGAGATTACTGGTGTGAGCCACTGCACCTGACCTTGGACTCTTTTGAATGTACCTTTCTGTCTCCTTCTAGATTACAACCCTTTGAGGCCAGGAAGAAAGATTTATTTACTTTTGGGTCCCTATCACCTAACGCAGGTTGGAGGAATGAATGTGATTTGAGTTACAGGCTAGGGGAAAGTTTTGTTTAGTAGGTGATCTACATAGGAAAAGTGAAGGAAGCTTATAAAGAGAGAAAGCAAAACAGAAGAAACATTCAGAGACCATCACAAAATTCCCCCCCAAAATAGACATCTCAAGGTCATTGGTTAGCAAGTCAAATACTTACACTTGCTGAGTTAAGTAAAGGGCCCAGCTAGAGAGAAAAACAACCTGCAGAAGGTGATTAAAATAATCAAAACAGGGTGGCACCTGTGGCTCAAGAAGTGGGGTGCTGGCCCCATACACAGTAAGTGGTGGAGTCAAGCCTGGCCCCAGCCAAAAACTGCAAAAAAAAAATCAAAACAAGAAGCAGAAAACTTCCCAAATAAGGAAGGAAGAGGCGGAGGAAGGAATGATGCATTCATTCATTTCCTGCTGTAACAAATGGCCATGAAAGTGGTGGCTTAAAACAACAGAAATGTGTTTTCTCACAGTTCTGAAGTCTGGAAGTTCAAAATCAGTGTCCCTGGGCTAAAATCAAGGTGTTGGCAATGCCATGCTCCCTTGGACACTTTAGGGGAGAGACCAGTCCTCCCTCCTGTGAGTTCTGATGTCTGCTGGCGTTCCTTGGCTTGTGGCCACATCACTCCATTCTCTTCTCATGGCCACATGGCATCCTCTTCTTCTGCCTGTGTAATCTCCCTCTGTCTGTTTGTTATTTTTAAGTGAACATAATAATTGTACTTATTTACAGGATACAGTGTAGTGTGATATTTCAATACACGTATACAATGTGTAACGGTCAAGTCAGGGTAAATAACATATCCCTCACCTCAAACAGGTATCATTTCTTTGCATTAGGAGCATTCTAAATTTGCTCTCCCAGGTATTTGAAAATATATGGTACATTGTTGCATATTATAGTCACCCTCTACTACTATAGAACACTAGAACTTACTCCTATCTAGCTGCACTTTCATTTTCCTTAACCAACCTCTGCTTATCTCCCTGACAACCACTATTTTCTTCTTCTATGAGATCAACTTTTTGAAATTTTACGTATGAGTGAGAGCAGGCAGTATGTATCTTTCTGTGCCTGGCTTATTTCACTTAATATAATGTCTTCGTAGGCTCATCCGCATTGTCGCAAATGGCAGATTTCATTTTATATGGCTAAACTGTATTTCATTCTGTGTGTGTGTGTGCACCTGTTTCTCTCTTATAAGGACATTTATAATGACATTTATCCCCAAGCCAGACACTCCAGGGTAATCTCTTCATTTCAAAATCCTTAATTATATCTGCAAAGACCCTTGCTCCAAATAAGGTAAGATTCACTTTACAGGAATCAGGACGTGGGTATCTTTGGGGACATTTCTCAGTCCACTATAATGGAGAGAGCAAGAAGGAAGAGGATCATCGTCTATCACTTAAACAGCCATCTTTCTATAGAACCGTGCTACCCCAAATCATTTTTCTGACACTACCTACAGGGTCTTAGCTCCATGGGTATACCACCCATTTCCTCCTATGGTGGCCATGGGAATGTGCCACCCCCATCTCTGACTGCAGGGAATGTGACAGATCTGAGGCCTCAGCCACTGCACTCTGAAGTCCATCGTCATGTAGGGATGAGGCCTGGCTCCCTCTGGATAGCTCCAGCCAGGGGCTGAGAAGAATAGGCTGCCCAGCAGGCCCATCATGGGACTCTTCTGACAGATGACAGGCCTTGCCAAACCTGCCTTCCTGCTCTTTGCTGGACTGGGGTCCACCCTTCATCGCAGTGTGACAACTCTGAAAACCACCCCGCCCCCTCCCCACTTCTCTCATAGACATTCCTCCTGACGTATTTCTTGCGCATTTCATCCCTTCCTGGCATCTCCTTCTTAGACAGCCTAATGCATATTACCTTCTTAATACTCATTTTAAACTCAACTCATCACTAAATAAACGTTCTTAAGGAGGAAATTTTAGGCCAGGCATTTGGGAGGCCGAAGCAGGAAGATTCCTTGAGTTTAGGAATTCAACACCAGCCTGAGCAAGTTCAAGACCCCGTTTTTACTAAAAATAGAAAAAGTAGCTGGGCATTGTGTTGGGCACCTGTTCTCCCAGTTACTTGGGAGGCTGAAGCAGGAGGATTGCTTGAACCCAGGAGTTTGAGGTTGCTGTGAGCTAGGGTGATGCTTAGTACTCTAGCCTGAGCAACAGAGTGAG